TATATAAGAAAAGAAAATTATTATATCAAAAATTTTTGCTATCTTAAAATGTCAGGTGATATTCACTTGATTTATTTTGAAATCTTTCCTTGAAGCGTTAGTCACATTTTGATATATAATAGAAGTTATAGTAAATGTACTGTTACTGTGTGTATTTCATGATTGTAAGTTTTAAATATTTCTTGAAAGCTACTGTATCGGTTAACGTGTTTAAAAGTCTGATACTTCATATAATTTGCCAGTCCAAAATGTTTTCTGTGCATATTGTAGTTGAGTATTTGTAGTTTTCCTGCTGTTCTTGTAAGTGTTAGAAACCCCTTAACACGGTGTTACCAAAATCCAAATGAATTTTTTCAAACGTTTGATGATATGACAGTTGAACATAATGTAAACAATTTCATGAAATTTTCTCAAAACGAAACACAGATCGGTCATATTAAGATAGCGTAGTTAAAAACGCGCATAATAAGTATTTGTGGTGTTATATTGAAACGATGTGAAAGTTGTTTTTCCAGAATTCGTGCACGCGCCGCTCTATGTACAAGTTCATACTGGTAAGTTTGTAAATTGCTTTATTAAATAATATAAGTACAAATACTTTTGAGTAGAAAACACAACAACAACTTTGTAGTGCACTGTAGTATAATAATTAAATTTATTGTACTTTATTTTTAAAGGTAGTAAATTTTGTTAACACCAAAGAATCGCTCAGGACAAAGTTCAGATATTATCAATTATTATAATCAGTAGAATGGCTGCCCGAAAAACGATTTATCATTATCAATATTAGATCGACTGTTTTAATAAAACTTTGACATTCATAATTAATAGTTGTAATTCTGCTTTAAACCAATTACAGTTGTTTCAAAGTAATAGATTAATAACCGACGCATTGCAAATGGTTTCGAGACAATCTTGTAGCTCATCAAAAAAAGAAAAAAGGAGGCTCAGCCGTCTTGATGTTAAGCACAACAAGAATAATTATAGCACGTTTATGATCAGAACGTGTAACTTTCTGTTTTAGGTGTTGTTGTTGTTTTTTCTTATGATGTTTGGAACATGTATTTCCGAGTTGTGTACATATCATGTCGATAAATAATTGTGTATAAAATAAAGGTTTGTTTTGTGAGTATTATGGTTATATTACACAAAGTTAGTAATTTTATTGGCGCCCATAGGTGAGGCGCTAAGTGGGAGGAGCTTCAACCATTGGCGGGAAAGAACGTCGGTACTCTCGTAGTCGTAAGCCGTGGGATTATTTTTTTATATTTGTTTCTCTGTATAGAAACTAAAAATATAAGAGTAGGTATTATCGAAATAATTAGAGATAAAGAGTACTTAGTCGGAAATAAATTTTTTTTTCGCGTTCGATCCGCCATTGCTTTTTAACATTTACAAAGTTTATCATTTGTTTAACATTATAAGCAAATCCAGAACTATATATTTGCGAGTTTTTATTCCCAAAAAGCTATCATACATTACTAAAATAATTATTAGGTTTCTAGAAATTTTATGACTAGTTATATAATTATTTTGATATTGTAATGAAACATCCATGTTTAATGTAGAAATTCATAACATTGTTAATCTCTACACTATGCTGTTTCGGACATCCATTTATTATGTGGGCTTTCTTTATAGCTTTTGTATTATTTCAACTTTTGAATCATAGGAAAATGTTAGTTATGTTTTCCTAGTTTTTAATAAGCTGTGTGTAAAGAATAATGAAACAGTTGTCAATGGAGCAAATAACAAATATGGTGCCGGAAATTCAATCATATTTGTCTGCAATGCAGACAGTTAGTGGGTATAGAGCTACTAGATGGCGCTGTAGTAGATAAAGTTGCAAGATTTTTTTATATTTACTGGATAGACTTATTGCAACGTTTTGTTTTTGAACACTTTTTATAACGATTAAATATCATAAAAAATGCTTCCAAAAATCTGCCTCTGTTAGAAGCTTCTTACGCATGGATATGTTAATATACATTAGAATGTCTACTTTAATATTAGTTGCGTTTGTTTCACAAACAAAAATCGCGCATTTTTTTCAGGCTTCTGTATAAAAATTAAAATACGAAAATGTAGATGAATATTTTAAATATGCAGAATGTGTTTCGTATTCTCAAGCATTGTATTGTTTAAATATTATCAGAGTGACATCCATATTTCTTTATTACATTTGTTTTTGTATTCTAGAAGTAGAACTTTTATAGCTATACATAAACATGGAGTTGAAATTTAATACCTAATTACATTAGTTGTATATGACCTCTGACTCTGATGTCATTGTGTAATTTTATTCAATGCAAGTCAGAAAAATACTTGATTTAAGCAAATCTGTATTACATTATAATTATGTAAGTCTACACTACAGTATATTTTGTAGATTGTTTTAATTACACTGTTGTGTAGGGTTTAAAAATATGACTTCATTTGTAACTTGGAAGCAAAGTTTCTTGTTAAACTTTTGGTAAAGTAATGAAATAAAAAATAACATTACATGTTGTTCTAGAGTATTCTTGCTATTTAATGTAGTACTAAAACTGTTGGAGTTTTGTCCTTTACTGAAATGGGATAACCATTGTCAATGGCATACATGATGGGGGGGGGGGGGTTGAAGCCCCTGCCTTTCTTAACTTATGCTGCAAAAGTGCCCTTTTTTCTTTGTCATACACATTGTTAACAACTACGAAAAGATACACCTGATTTCACAAGTTGCTTGTTGTAAATTATTAGGAGGGGGGAGATTTCAGCTTTAAAATATATGAAACTCAAGGCTTGGTAGGACTTTACAGTAAAAAAATAATTATAATATTCTACACAAAAAAGTACTGTTTAGTTTTACATTTTAAAATGTTTTAAGACCAATTGAACAGAAATAAAAAAGGATTTATTTGCTTTGTATGGATTTTTACTGTATTTGTGCTGGAGGCAACCCACAATCCCCATAGTTTAGCCCCTCACCCCAAAAGGCTTGCCTTATGATTCTTGAAAAGTGCCTTTTAATGTCCTTTGCACATTACTGAGCATTATACATCACATGATAATGTGGGTTATATTATTTTGTATTACAGTTGTTTGGATTTTACATGTAATGAAGTTTTACTCATGATTGACATTACCATCAGGTTCATCATGACTAAAGGTAGCTTTGGTTTTATTAACAGTGAAAAAAAAAAAGCTTGTTTCATGTAGCGTTAATATGGTAAGCTAATACTCAAAAAATAGTGCTGTTTATGACTAACAGAGTTTTTCTTTGATACATGACTAAGGATTTCTTTACATTGCTTCATGACTAAAAATAGCTTTTAAGTAATTTGTTTCTTAAGATAGCTTTTTATTTATGTGTAAGTTGCAATGGATGTGTTTTCATATTTTTTGAGTGTCTTACTTAACGAAAAAGTGAGTATTAATGGTTAAGTTCTTGTAAGATTTGATCAGTAAGGTTAAGAATAAAAGTTTTATTAAGCTAACATCATTATGAGCATAACATGACCTATTACTCCAGAAAACATAATTGGTTTTATTTATTGAGATAAGATCATTATGAGAGTTTAAAGTTTGTAGCTCAAACTAGAGAGTTCTATTTGTTGTTAAAAGGAGAAATAAAACATGACCTATTACTCCAGAAAACATGATTGGTTTTATTTAAGCCAGTGTTTCACCATTACAGCTTCATCAAGGGCAAATAAGACACTTACCAACTGATTTATGCTTATACAGAAGATTTCAAAATATTCAACTCTTTGCAGTAAGAACATTTTATTGACAAACACGATATAATTGATATCAATTATCCCATAACAGCAAACATTCTTACTCACTGCCACAGCTTTTTAGATAGAAATGTAAAGAAACCTTATCAATTTCAGAGAGTAAGCCACAGTTAAAAAATCACCATGGAATCTATAACTTTTACTGTTTGTATTTAATTAGTGTAATAACATGTGTTGCTTTAAATAGTATAATCATGTCCATTTGCATGTACTTTCAACTTGTTTATATATTTTCAGGTAAAGTTCACCTTATGTGTAGACTTAAATTATTTTGAAATATTTTGTATAAGTCTAAGTCAGTTGGTGTTTTTTTTTTGCCCCAGTAAAGCCATAATGGCAAAATGTTGGCTTAAATAAAAGCAATCATGATTTCTGGAGTAATGGGTTGTGTTTTATTTCTACCTTCATTAGATGAAAGCATTTGATATTTGTGATTTTTAATTTACAAAATGCTGTTGTCTTGTTGGTTTATCTGTTGTTTGCCGTATCACAGATACACAGTTTTCATGATTAAAAACTATAGACTTTTTCTTAAATAACTTGATGTTTAATTCTATGAAGATTTTAAATAAATATTGTAGTTTTTTGGCCTTTCTTTGTACAAGTTTAATCAGAGTATTGAAAAGAATATTATTTTTATGAAAACTGCAAATAGTAAATACTGACACACTAAAATATTCCAATGTAAACATTACTGTGAAGTAAAGGAATATGGTCAAGGATAAAAAATAATGTTCTTAGTGTTTTTATAATTGAAAGAGAAGGTGAAATGCCTGACCAAACTAATTTATTAATAAGAGGGAAAGAGAATTTTTATATTTTATTCATATTGAAGAGAAAGTTGTTAAAATCAAACAAACTTTGCAGGCTGTTTAGGTGGTGGACTAGTTTTCTGTTAAACTTGAAATTTACATGATGATGTGTTTAACCAAACTTTTGTGTGTTAAATATATGGTAGTAAAATGTTACTTTCATTTATTTGATGCTCTTTGTGGTGGTTTGAAAAAATAAAAAGGGGTGCCTATGATAGGCTGAATCTTCTGTTGATTTGGATGTTTTTGTATTTTCTATGAGTAATCCTTTTGAATCTTTAAAATACTTACAGAATTTTAAGCTCAAAAAATAATGTTTATCTGAAATTTGTTTTTTTTTGAAAGTGTAACATGTTGTAGCTTAGTATAAAAGATATTTTTCAGTGATATTTATTGTGTCTTGATTAGTTTTCTGGTTTACCAGCAATACTAACATACACATTTGCAATGAATTAATCTACTTTTTAGCATAAGGAATCTTAAAAGATTTTTCTTTCTCATTGGATGGCACTATCATAAACAGAATAGTATTCAGAATAGAAAGTTAATAGTCCACATGTCAAATTCATTTATTTCTTAATGGTGATATACATTTCATTTTTATAGAATATTTTTATTAAGTTACCAGAACTCTTTCCCTACATAGAAATTTCATATTTTTAATTTAAATCACATATATCAGTTGATACAGCTATTATAACTACTTATATTTTACGTAGAAGCCATGTGTTTCCATGTGATATCATGCATAGTTGTTATATGTTAATGCTACTGCACATGCAAGCCATGGTGCCACAGGTGAAATTATGTATCTCTTCACAACGAATCTCCAACCATCCGCAAGTACAATGACACAGAAGTAAAGAACACTTCAAAAAAGGGAGTTTTTAGAGTTTTCCATTGGATTATTGAAACTTGCATAGCAATAGTTCTGAAATGACACATCAAGCCAATTGTAGCAACGCAGTCATCTGCAAGGAGGAGGCTGTGATTATAAAAAGAAAGGTCCTCTTAACTGTAAAAGCCATTGTATAAAGCTCATGTATCTTCTGGTATTATTAACAAGATAGTAAACAAGGATTTGAAACTTAAAAAAAAGGATCACAAGTTTCCAGCCACACTTCGAAATCAATAACTCTTTCCAGGATGAAGTTGGTCAAAGAAAGTGGAATCATAACAATTCCATTCAGCCACATCCAATATATATATATATAATAAATTTACTGATACAATCCCAGTGGGCTTTTGAGACTTTGGTCCACTTAAATGTGGTATTGGAAGTTAATGATCACATACAGTGGAAGGTCTGTGAAAGTTGGCAAAAAGGTATGGTAGAAATTTGGCCTTGCTGTCCTTCACAGAATCTTGCTAATTACAATGGAAATCATGGCATTAGTCAAAAGTACTCAATCAAATTAAGCATAAATTATAACAAGAAGTATTTTCAAGGATAGTAGAGAACCTGGAACATTGTTTTTTTAAAGTGTGATAAACACTGAGTAAACAAAACCTAAGTGTTGCTAGGTTACATCAACTGTGCAAACATATAAAAGGTATGTCACTTCCTATATAGAAAATATACATTGATAGGCTACAAATCTTTCTCTAAAATTATCACAGTTCCCTGTTTGGAAGCTATATAGTTATAGGTCCAACTAAAAAAACCACTTTCACATGAAAATATTACAAAGATAAAATGTTAAGGGGAGGTTTTTTTAGCATGTTTAGTTTGCTTAATTTTATAACATAAGTTTTCTTTTAAACACGTATCATTTAGGAATGATGTAATTTTGCTAGCTCCTAAATACTTACATGTTTCAGTGATTAGATTGATCAAATTGTGTTTGAAAATGTTTCTCTTCTGTTTCTTTTGAAGCATAGTAGACAATGTCCTTACCTAAAAGCAGTTCAACAGTACCAATATCCCAAGCTACTACAGTGAAGAAACCAGTCGTTCTTAACTCTACTATCTCACTAGTTCCAACGACACCTTCAGGTTTGACTCGTCCGAGTCACACGTCTACACAGGCCTCAAACAGTACGGTTATCAATTTAACTTTCACCAATGGTGAGTAGTTTAGAGAAAATTTTTCTTGGATATCTTCAGCAGACTTTTCTCTATCAATAATTTGATTGTGCTAGTACAAGCAAGGAAAAAATAACTACCTAGGCATGGAAAGTTTCATAGGTTGACCAAAACATTGACTATAAATAAAAATTAACCATCACTCATTTTTTCTCTAATAATAATGTTTATAATGGGTTTTATTGACAAACTAAAAAGATGTGTACATGCATAAATGCAAAACAAAGAACAATTAACAGTGTATTACTACATGCATACCAACTCCTAAATCTTGTTTTTTATTTTTATAGATATATAAACAAGGCTTACCTGTATTTGAGTTTCCTAAATATATACACATTTTGGAGTAGCTGACAGTATGTTATTCACTCGAAGTTCACATACAAAACTTAGAAACAATTCTGAACTCTTAAGAAGCTTTATTTTAACTGTCTTTTTGATATCAATGTTGTGAACTCACTCTAAAAGCTTTTTAGCTGCTCAGCTGGCTCTGTTAAAGTATTCGTTAAAAATAATGTGAAGTCAGTCCATATAATGATAACAGATTAGTTGATTTCTTCCTTAACATTTGCTACAGGCTACCATCACTTCTACACAACTGTAGGCCCTAGCTCATAAATAATGTTTTCACTTTCAGAGAAATTTACTTATTGATGTTGTTACTGGTAACGTACGTATAAATTTACTTGTATAATTTCACAGCTAATTAATTGAATAATTTAACACGCATGATTTCTAACACTGATCTGAATACTTCATTAACTTTCAAATCATTATACTAACTGAAAACTGACTCAACGCTTCACTGATTCTCACATCCACAATGCTTCCTTGTTTCTGATATTTCACAAGGTCTCTTGAACAGTAACACACATTCTGGGTATTGAGGACTTTGGAGATGATACTTCAACTCTGCACTCAGAATAGCTTGATCCCTCGCAATATGACTATAATTCCATGCCTGACTGGGACCTTGACGTGGTGTTACACTCTCTCACATGTTTTGTTTGAGCCATTGGTTTCCTGTTCTTTATACCATCTTTCTCTGAAGACATACTTCCTTCTCACCTATGGTTGCTGTTGTTCGATTATATATGCCATCAGTGTTTCCTGCACTCTCTTTCATCATACTTATTTACACCTCTACCCAGACCAGGCTTTTCTATGTAAGATTTCAGCTGCTTGGGAAAATGATCTTTCCTTCTCTGTTACCTTCCTCCATTCTCTCTCTCATCTCTGATTGTTTGAACCCAGCTTGTTTTTTTTGTCCAGATCCAGCCATTTCATGTTATTTGGCACAAACATCTTTTCTGGATTCCCCTCATCATTTGTTTTTACCATGGGACCCCTCTTTGTATAGGGACCTCTTGCCTCCTACCCTTACTGGATGGGTCTACCAAATCCTTTGTTTGATGTATTTTTCCTCAGATACTGATGCTTGCAGGCTTTTTCACATTTTATCACATCAAATTCATTGCCTGTCACACTCTCTTGCGTCCACTTTTGCTGACCTTTGGATAAGATCCTTCGAGCTAGCATGTGGATGGATCTGCACATGTTCATCTCATATTGTCTTTTGTCTTTATAATCTGGTTGTTAGGTTTTCTGAAGGATTTTGACCACCTCAGGTTGCTATTCTTCAATCAATACACTGTCTTTGAGAAGAGTAAGGACACTTTTTCTTTTATTACCAATTTTCTTTTTATAGTATCCCACCAAGTAGCTGGTGTTGCCTTTCAGAGCATGCTTATTTTCCAAAATATGCATCAGGCTAGGAATAGTGGAAAGTTCTAAACCCAACCAATCTGGCTCTACCAGTGTCCACTGCTGAGATGGGGTGTTCCACAGAAACACGAGAGGTATCCTCATGGTATTAAAATTACATAATTGCCCAATCTAGACCATACCATTCCACAGACTACCGTGGAAAAAGACAGCACTGAGGAAGTGTCTGCTCGCTTCTTTGGCTTATGCCTGCTAGCTTTTAAAGATAGGTTTCATGGTCACCCATTACAATATCTCCAGTAAAATAACTTTCTGGCAGGCATCTAATGGTGATCCAGGCAATTCCCAACATACTTCCTACTCCCTCTCTTCTGATGAAGCACAATAAACCCTTGCCACTTACCGGTTCCTAACTGCTGTGGATGGACCTTGGAGAGATCCTCACTGATTGTGTACAGCACGATACAATGGGAAGTAGGGTATAGTGTATCTGTATAGTGCAGGTCTCCCTTCAAACAGCTAGTGTGTCCTCCTTCTACTGTAGGACAAGTTCATTATCTCCTTCTCTGTCTGTCCAGTTGAGTCAAGGTCAAACACAGACTATACAGTCTGATTGCACCCTAACCACACTACATTTCTTGGCTCCTGACCACTTGTGTGGGGGGTGCTCAGTTGGCCATGCAAAAAATTCTACCCATCCCTGCAACACTTGTGGCTTTTTTGCCTTTCCATCTTTTTTTTCTGGGTGAAGAATATATCCTGGTTGAGATGGGGTACAGTTTCCTAAGAGTGTGCCTGCATGGAGCCCCTGCCATCAGGTGTTACACTCTGGGGGCTTTCCTTTTAGGTGCTTTCTGATAGGAGCCCATTTAGGTTTAATGTTTGCACAAGCCTCTCTACCATTTTAATGTGGGATTCTAACTATTCTCAATATGGAGGTGAGATATCATTTCAGAAGTTTACATTTTCCTTATCTGAAAATGTATTTCCAATAGATATGCACAGCTGCACATTTTTCCACCCATCCTCCCCAGTTCTGGTGCACTTTCTTCTTGCCTTGTCTAAGAATGAAGTTATTTCAAATGCAAGTGCTTAGGATGAGTTACTGCACAAGGAGGTTGGTGGAGAGCGATCATTGTTTGATAATGTCATCATGCACTAGCTCAGTTCATGTTAAATATGTGATTTTAGGTGGGAGTTAGCTCAAGGTTAGTGACATACAAGTCTCATTCTGTGTATAGAGGTGATTATCTATCAGAAAGTAAGGAAAATGTGAACTTCATCCATAAATGTACCCGATCTCAATGGGGGTGTTAGTGGGCTGATGCCATGTCCTTATTCTTTGTTTACAAAATTGGGCAATAAAAGATAATTTGTACTGACTGAATTGTACTGTTTTTCTATTAAGTGAACCTATGGTTATATTTCAGGGGCAAAGTAAGAGTAGAAGGCAAATATAAGGCCTGGTACGTTAATCTGATGAATAAACAAAGTAACAATCAATAAAAGTTTATATCCAGTGAAACTGAAAAAATTATAATGTTTTTAATCAACAGAAAGTTTTCCACTGTTGCATGTTTTAAGCTAAGCTTTTGGTTAGTGAGCTTCGAGTAAACTGACTATACCCTGTCTTAATGATACTATTACTGTATAGAAGCACATGCTTCCATAAATCCTTAGTTTTGACTACATTCATGTACTACTTAACCATTCTCTTGAATTCTATTCATTCTGAGCTTATTTTAGTTTTATCAAAATAAATGTAAATACTTAATTTTCTCAGTTGTGTTACCTCATTTTGCTGAATCTATCTAAAACATACTTTGATAAAGTTCAATCTCAAATGAGGAGAATCTTGATTCAAGACAAGCCTGTACACTTGGAATGGCCATAATTCTCAGTATTATGTCAGGTATTGAGAATTTGAAATAATCCAAGACCGCATTAAATAATTTAACTTTTAATAGTTGAGACGTACCTTGGAGTTAGTATTTAGAAATATGCCAATATTTTATTTAATTTACACTATTTGCCAAGATTGATTCACACCATTTTTGTTTTGAAACAAATATGTTTTAATATATATATATACAATTAGTATGATTAATTATTACACACAAAGTTTCATAAACAGAAATTTCATTAACTTACAAATAGCCTAAAACCATCTTCCTAGTTCAGAGTCTCCTTAATATCCAGCAAGTTGTACATACATATAGAATTTGCCGGGAAGATAGCTAGATTTTTCAGGCACTGAATTGTTGGACCGTTGAAGTAAGATAATATTTTCACAAAATAACTAATGTCTGATGAAAGATTAGTAATATTCTTGGAGAGATATTAACGTTTGAAGGGAATTCACTGACGTTCGAAAATTTATAACTTTTTCCTGGTCAGATGTTGTATATTTTCCGGTTGATAAGGGTTAACGAAATCACAGTTTATAGCTTACATGGTTATAACAGTTTCATAGTAGGCCTGTCTCTTCTCTGTTGTCTGTTGCTTTTTTAGGGTGATGCCCTGCTGGTTTTATAGGCTAGACATATCTTCTAGAACCTTTTATAAGACTAGATATGGAAATGGATATATATTGTTGATTCTTTGTGTTCACGAATATTCCATAATCTTGGAGAATTGGCGGGAGTTTCGCCATATATAACTAAGATGGTAAGCTAAACACGCCCTCAAATATCAACTTATTTGAAACAAACGTTGACATTAAAATAAATATATCACAAATTCGTTATACGCAACACATAATATAAGTCATGCCTATTTCTAAATACAAATTCAATCCAAACAAAGTTCATATTAAAAATAAATTCGTTACATCAGTTTGTCTACAGTTTACGTTGTTCTTTAGACTGTAGTTGACACTGTCAGCAGTGAATTCCTTGTTTTTGAAAACATACTTATTTCTGCTGACACTTGTAGCTATTACTCGACTGCCAGGGTTTCTTCTTTGCTCATCTAACCATTGGTCTGATTTTTTCTTGCTTGCTCCAGTCTTTTATACCCCACTTATTTGCCCTCGGTGATACTTGTCTCGTTATACTCTCCACCTACATCAATGCACCCTCTAATCTGGCACTATATATATAAGCACCTCATTCAGATAATGTTATCACTTTTTCTCAACAAAGTGTCACTAATGGGTTTCCCAATATTATGATTATTTGGAGATACTTTGAACGTTATCATGTTGTCTAATTGATTTTCATAATAATATATTTTTTTTAAATTAAAATTTTTCTTTC